AGAGAGAGAGAGAGAGAGAGAGAGAGAGAGAGAGAGAGAGAGAGAGAGAGAGAGAGAGAGAGAGAGAGAGAGAGAGAGAGAGAGAGAGGGTCATGAGGAAGCATGAGGAGTGCGCTGCTATTGCTCTAGATTGTTGTAGCAACGCGCCAAGGTTCGAGCCTTGCACGTTTCATCCAAGGGAGCGATAAACAGCTCCGCGCGAAAGAGTGCATGTGGTGTGGAGTGGAGCGAGAAAGTCTATGTGGAAGTCGCGCGCGGCACGGCGCCCGCTTTTCGCTGCAGCTTTCCGGCACCTGGACGTAAATCCGGCCATACGTGGTGGCGTGCTTGACACTGTAGGTGACGTAGATGTTGGGGGGATCTGAGTGTGGGGCGCTGTAGTGTTGAGCTGCGCGTTCTGACCTTTGAAGCTGCGTCTTCTAGTGTGTTAAGCTGCCCGTTCCAGTCTCTTCAGCTTCGGGTTCTCCTTCCATGGCGGCTTGGACCTCGCTCCACTACTCTCCACACACAAAGAAGGAATATATATATGCGGCCGTGTATCTCCCCATGTTCTGGAGGAAAATTCTTTCTCACTTTGCTCATTTGGTGGGAGATAGATGTGGTGTTGGCTATGCTCGCGTTCATTCTAGTGTTCATGCTGCCTTTCTTTGATCTTCGTCATGCTGCTCATCGATGAGATCCTGCTCGGGATCATCCTACCGTTGGTCTCTGTGGTCGTCATCCTCGCCTCAGCAGTGCACTTCGGTGGTCTTCAATCCTGGTTCTTGTGGTAGTGATGCTTGCCGCTCGTTTTGATGCTGGTCATCACGATGTTGCTCGGCCACCGTGGTGGTATTTTATCGTGGCCGTGACTTTTCTCTCCGTTCTTTAGTTTTTGCTGGTATTGATCGAATATGGCCGTGTCAAGGGCTAGATGCATTCCCAAGTTGGGCCTGCACAAGAGAGAGAGAGAGAGAGAGAGAGAGAGAGAGAGAGAGAGAGAGAGAGAGAGAGGGACAGTGAAGACTTGATGCGGAACTATGCTCGGGTAGAAATTGACTACAACAAACTTCGTTTTTCCCGTTTTTTTCTCGGTTCTCCATGTTAAATGTGCCTGGGCGGGTTCCTGAGTAAGGTGCATTGCGAGGGTGAGGTCAAGCAGAGTCAGCTCAGTCGAGGATAGAGAGAGAGTGAATGTGTGTGTGTGAGAGAGAGAGAGGGAGAGAGTTATCGAAATGAGCAAGGCCCATGGCACGTGAACTTAGAGGATTGAAGTTTGGATGCATGAATCTTGGTGGGTTGGTTGGCTGTGTGATCTTCCGGATTCGATCTGAGATGGGTGGGAATTGTTGAGGTCAGCCCACAAGGCAGTTGTTTCGCTGCCATTGGAAGTGGCAGTCTTGAGGTATGAAGGCAGGAGAACGAGGACAGCCCTGGGACAGGGTGTTCGAGCCTGATTTTGGACTCGTCTGGTCTGTGCTTGACTCCTCGCCCTGTTGGCCACATTACTACGGCGTATATTTTGGAATGATGAGATGACATTCGCATTTTATGACTCTATAAAGTGTCGACCAGGAGTAAGACGGGTGAGTTAGGATCCTCGGTAGGGGCAAAACGGGGGGGTGTGTTGGACAGTCAGTCAAAGAGTTGCGGTAAGTGGAAAAGTGGCCTGACCTAGAGGGAAGCGGCGATGCCATTAGTCCTCAAGGTGGTCCGCTACCCTAGCCGTGAGGGTTGGGCTTTCCAAGTCTTCGACGGATTAACCGTTGATGCGAGGTACAAAGAGACTGGTTGTGTTGTCTAACGAAAGAAGGGGCAAGAGTGGGATCCTTTCCCCTGACACCGCACTGTGCAAATCGTCCGAGCCTCTGAGATCGATCGATCGTCTCCACTATTTTGTCCTTTTTGTATGTGATTCTCTTCTTCGTCCTGTGGTCTTGCTTCGGTGTTCTCTCTTCTCGTGACCTCTTCTCTGGCGCTTTTGGTGGACCGTTCTCAATGCCGCTCGCTCGGTTCCTCCCGACGGGAGTTGCTAGGGGTGTTTCGTTGCGTTCTTTCGGCTTCGAAATTTTTCTGTGTCGTGATGGAAGAGAAACAATTGGTCCGTTTTTACGGTTGTGCGTCCGCTTCGTTTTGGCTACCTTGCATCCGCTTCTGCGATGCTCTCTCCTGTTTTTTTCCTTATCATCCTTGCATTTTTTTTCTCCCCTTATTGTTTTTTTCCACGACCTTCAACGACCTGCACAGATCCTCATATTTTGGCCTTGGAGCCATGACCCTTTTTTCACCACATACATCAAATTAGATACAACAACAACTGCGTCAGCTATGTCGTGGGTCAGATCATACACGGG